AAGTTGCAAAGCCGTCGCCACCAGCCGCTGCCACGGGCCCGCCCGACCCCCCGTTCGGAGGGCCAGGCAGGGCACCGGGGAGCAGCGGGGCAACGTGTGCCCCCCCCCCCCCCCCCCCCTCCCCCCCCCAACCCGCACCCATGTACACTACATACACGCACATACGCTGCGTACACAGCATACATAGAGACGCCTAGCTGGACAGAGCTGAGACATTTTGTGATTCCAGGCGATTGAGAGAGGAGAGGGAGATCATGTTTCCAGAGGAGAGATTGTTTATTGGCATCGTCACATTTCAAGTGTCTTCTTCTCCCTCCTCGCCGCCTCCTCTTCTTCTTCTCCTTCTTCTTCTTTGCCTCCCTTTGTCTGTGCATGACCGAGCAGGAAGCTTCTTCCATGTATGTCTCCTGCCCGGTACTGTGTAAGTCGGTGCTCAGCCCACATTCTCTTAGGATGTGCCATGCATGATGCATGTATGCCTATCATCTATGCACCCTCCCACACATAATTTATTCTTGGCTTTCCAGCATTTCCTACTTCCGATACGGGCATGCAACATAGGTCTGCGCCCTGTGTTGTTCATGGCCCAGCAAAATCAGGATTTGCGGCAAAACCAGGAGTAACGGGAATCCCCTCAATCGATAATTTGGGACCCAGCGCTCCGGCAAAACCAGGAGTGATGGGAATCCCCTTAAGTGATAATTTGGGACCCAGGGCTCCTCAAGCCAGACCCCTCGGTTGAAACCCCTCCTGACCTCAACGGAGACCCCTTAAGAGCTAGTAGAGCGCGCCTCGGGCCTAGCGCTGACCTGCGCTACGGACCAGCCGGCGAGGCCCGGCTGCACTCTGGAGACTGGGGCAGTGTCGACCATTGCTGCTCCTAGTCATCCTAACTGCCCGTCTGGTCGTTTCGACCAGACGACGGTGCACTTTCCACCTGGCAGATTGGGAGACAGCACGTGGGTGTGTGGTGCGTATTTTTGTTATCTGGCGGCGCGTCCTACAATCGGGGGCGATGGCTTCATTGGCTCAACTACAACAGGATGCGGATGACTGGCTGTTGACCATTCAGGAGGGCTGTGTGCGCTTGCGAAGGATTGTGGAGGCTCTGTCTGCGAAGGGAAGGGATTGGCATGCAGTCGAAGGGGGGGGGACGGTGTTGCTGTCCTGGACGGAAGACTCGATGCAGAATATGTTGGATGTCATCTGGGAATAGGAGGGGCCGGCTCCTCAGCTGGACGACCTCATTGATTGGCCACAAGCGAAGACCCTTATGCAGCGTTGCTATGCCATCTTCACGGATGGGCGGGATCTGTGCGATGCGATCGAGGCGCAGGCAGCTACGATGGCATCAGCTGCAACAACAACACCAGCAGGCGTATCATCAACCATACATACATCAGCAGCGGCAGCGACTACGACAACAACAACAACAACAACGACAACAAAGACAACGACAACAACGACAACAACGACAACAACCAACAACGACAACAACGACAACAACGACAACAACAACAACGACGACGACGACGACACACGCAACACCAACTATACGATCTACATCGGCAACGGTGTCGGCAGTGGCAGCAGCGGCGATGACGACAACAACAACACCAACAACAACGACGATACACGCGACAACAACGACAACAACAACAACATTAACGCCAACAACTCCACTGACTGTGATATCCTTAATATCACCATTGATGATGACGGCGATATCAACTACAATGGCAATTATAACTCCAATGATGGTGACGGAGCTGACAACAACTATCGACATTACTATACCGCCTCTACTGATGATGGTGGTGTTACTCACAATGGCATGGGCTGTGGGTTCGCCTCCTTGATTTCTCCCCCCATTTCTAGAGGGTTTTCTTTTGCATTTCTGGTTATTTGTCATCCTTCGGATAGGGGTGGGTTAGCTATTGAGCAATGGTTTAAGGGGATTGCCGGCCCTTCATCTGTAATTACCGGGTGCTTTGATAGGCTAGATAGGTTTGTGGTTACGAAGGCTGGTGGTTAAGGTGGGCAAAAGACCATGGGCTTCCCGCCCCCTACACTAAGAATGAATTGACAAGTGGCGTGGCCCCCTCACATAATTTGTGATGCATTAGGGTTATAAGAGCAGCAGGTTAGTCATCCCCTGGTATGGGGGAGTAATCAATGCCTCTGCATAAACGATATATACAGTCATGATCGGTTTATATTGGGATGGCCACGTGGCTTATCTACATGATTTCCACTTCATCATATCATTGTACAGGGACGCTGGACCCGATTTCCAGCAGGTGCTGCTCCCCACCAATAGATGGAGGCTTCGCTGCAGGGGTCACTTAATGAGGATGCTCTTATCACCTCGTCAAGTGACTTCCTGCTCTTGAAGTTTGCCAAAAAAAAAAAAAAAAAAAAAAGAAAACAGAGACCCCTTAAAGCACCAGTACACCACATATCAGCCCGCGGGTGTCAGCATCAAAACCCGCACCACTTCGGGGGCCGCCGATTTTGTTTTTCAACAGCGGAACTGGCTGCACGGCGCCTCCGAGTTTTGCTTGTGGCGACAAAAACTTTCTGCAAGGCTGGGGCCGTGTACTAGCGGTTTAATTGAGCCCGTCAGTCTCAATGGACACCCCTAGTCGCTTTGTCTTGCTGGAGACAGCTGAATCGAGATTCGCAACCCCTCAACTGGGACCCCTCACTAGAGACTGCTCATACAAAACACCAGTTGACCCGAGCCTATTTCAACGAAGCCACCCTTGAGGCCAACTGGGCCTTTTCTTACTGGTGGTTCAAGACCCCTCAAGACGCCCGTGTCAGCCCCTCCTGACCTCAACAGAGACCCCTTAATTGAGCCCGTCAGTCTCAATGGACACCCCTAAATCTTGTCTTGCTGGAGACACCTGAATCGAGATTCGCGACCCCTCAACCGGGACCCCACACTCGAGACCGCTCATTCAAAACACCAGTTCACCCGAGCCTATTTCTACGAAGCTACCCTTGAGGATCCAGAGCCCCCAACTGGGCCTTTTCTTACTGGTGGTTCAAGACCCCTCCAGACACCCCTGTCAACTGAGACCCCTTTATTGGGATTCTGTTCATGGGCATTCCCTCAATTGGGTTTGTGAGCCTAAGCCAACACGATTGAACCTCCAATGTACTGCGAATCACAAAATATAATTCGACAATCCTGAAATTCAGATTATCCAAGAGGCTTTCCATACATCAAGGAGCTCTGACTCCTCAGGTTCTATGTTCTCCTAACAAATTCGTTTTTCTGTTTCTGTGCATGGCAATCCCTGCACTTGGTAGACAGGTGTGCTCAGAATTCCTCCATCGCCTACTCACGAGTCACAACATATAACCATGCACTGAAATGCCAACAGAAAGTGCTGATCCTTCAGTATTTCTCGTGGCGGTCGTTCCAGTCCTTTCTCTAGACCCCATATGGAAACAACCGTTGACGAAGGCTTTCAAGGCGAACAGGTACAGATAATAATTGGGACAGAATTACACAAAGTAGGCTGTCCAGGCCCACTGCCCCCCCCCCCCCTCCTCCTCCACTAAGAAGAATCGGGAGACGAAAGACATGGAAAATCTGGTAAATCAGGGCAGTGGAGTGCAATCGATGCCAGACAGTAACAGAGGGAGATTCACGTGGAACACATGCAATACGCATTATTGTATTCTGCAGCCAGTCAAACAACAAGCGAGGAGGCAAAATTCGTCGCAAACAAAACAAGAAAAGAAAAACCTAAAAACCTCAAAGGAAGAAGAAAACGTAGTAGTAGAGGAAGCCCAATTTGTGTAGGCATTTGCCAAGGTGGGCCATGCCATAGTGCGCCGCCGATTTCCAGAGGGTACATCCAATGGACACACAGAAAATCGCCAGAGATCCTACAGAGTCCTAGGATGTGACAACAAAATCTGATTGCGAACATTCAGTTGGGATTCCCAGGAGGTACACCCAACGGATCTTCCGGATTGTGAAGATCAAAAGTAGGGGCACTAAAATCTAACACGGGAGTTAAATGGCCGTGCAGGATGATGACCCGCTGCTACAAAAGAAGAGATGCAGAGCGAACACAAAAGACCGCTATAGATATAATTAACTTTCAGGCAGCAATACAAAGCAGGCATATGATGAGGTTGTGACTTTTATGAAGGGTGGGGAGTAGGGGACAGGAAAGGGCAAGGAGAAATCAGGGAGGGGAGGGGGGGGGTCGGGAGGGGACGGGAGGAGGGAGGAGGAAGAAGGATGCGAGAACGAGAGAACTAAAATCTGTCAAAGATTTCGATCTGATTCCTTTCAAAAGATTTATCCACTTGCAAGGACCCACTGCCATGGACTTCTGGCTTGGCCCCAGTGCACAAATGATGATGGCCTCGTTAGAAATCAAGCATGGCTCAGTTCTAGCCCAGGTGGGGGGGAGAGGGAGGAGGGTGAAATCGTAAAACTACCCATCTCAAACATGAAATGTATCAATGCCACTGTCGAAATGTAGATCAACATTTCTTACAGTCGGATGCATGATCTGCATCTGGGCAATCAATCCCAAAGTACGGTTATAATGCAATGGAATTTGGGTCACCTGAAGGGGAAGGGAATCCCCAGAGGTATGTCTCGGATTCGCTGCGTTTTCCCCCCCTCTTTTCCCAAGTTGCAATTGGGTCTTTTCTTAATTTGGGTCAAACGACGGTTGCCTTAATCAAGCAACAACATGACCTTAAGTTTCCCACTTCGCGCCACTTTTTGTCATGCATTCCATGATGCATATTCTAATCATACAGACACACAGGATCGATGCGGAGCCCTGAGGGGCCTCCTCTCAGCCCTAAGGGAGAGAAAGCTGGTGTACTTCAAAAAAGTCCTCATGAGGGCCTGTATCAGTTTCCCTCCATCGAGCTCTTTGTCCATAACACATGGAAAGAGCAGTCTGGCAGTCAAAGCCCTTAGCTGTCAGGCACCCTTGCAGTCCTAATCAAGCAGAGCTATCTGATGTGGCCAAGCCATTCCCTGCAGTCATAACCAAGCGGAGCTATGTGATGTGGCCAAGCCATTGATGACCAGTTACATATTACATACCTTATAAGATTATTTTGCAATTATTTTATACAAGTCGGAGGCACGCCGTGGCGATGCTGCGGCAGGCGGGGCACAGTGTGAGTATGTCCCAGAGGGTCTCAGTGTCAGAATATCGTAAGGATAGTCAGAGTGTGAGTGTGCCCTAAGTTGCCCGAAGTCCGGGTGTATGTCCCAAAAGGTCCTAGAAGTCACTATGCCCGTAACTGCGGACAGATACATTGAAAAGAAATCCTGGTGTGCGTATAAACTGAGGAGCTGTCACACACACACACACACACACACAGAGAGTTTTCCATCCATAGGATGTAGGATGAGCAAAACAGGAACGAATCTGTCCCTAGAACATGGAAATATACACTGCCACATTTTCGTTCTTTGGCAGTGTATATTTCCACGTTGTGGCAGTGGATACTTCCATGTTCTAGGGGAAGATTCAATCCCATTTTGTTCATTTGGTGAAGCATGGCAATGTCGGTATCTGTGCGTGTGTGTGTAGGATGAGCAAAATCGGAATGAATCTTCAGCCAGAACATGGAAATATACACTGCCACTTCTTTTTTTTTTTCTTTTTTTACTTTTTATACCTTTTTTTTTTTGTGTGTGTGTGTATGTGTGTGTGTGTGTGTGTGTGTGTGTGTGTGTGTGTGTGTGTGTGTGTGTGAGAGAGAGAGAGAGAGAGAGAACAGGTAAGTCTTTAACCTCGCGGTTGGCCTCACGCTACTACCATCGATAGGATGAACGAAATCAACGAACAAAATCGAATGAATCTACCGCTAGAACATGGAAATAGTGTGTGTGTGTGTGTGTGTGTGTGTGTGTGTGTGAGAGAGAGAGAGAGAG